GCGGTTCTTAAAAACACCTCTCTTCTTCCCTTTGTCCCAGTCTCTCATGTTTCCAAGGACTTACAAAGATACCAGAGTAATCAGTTGGCCCAGAAGTCCCAGGGTGAGCCAGTCATCTCCTGTCAGACTGAGATGGGGAAGGGGGAAAAGGCAGGGATGGCCTTGCATAGTCAGTGGTGACCAGTCATTGCCTGGCTGCAAACCACAGCAGGGCTTGGAGGTGGCAGCCCTAAGGCCCTAAGGACGGGGTGGGGACGGGGGTGAGGAATCTCCAGGGGAACCTTCTCATCACTGAGTTCTTCTGCTCTGTGGGCAGCTGTTCAAATGTCACAAAGCATGCAAGAGCTCCAAGCTGAACAGACACAAATGAAAGCTCAGGGTAAGACAGGATGAGAGAAAACCCCCACCCTGAGAACCACAGGGACCCTGGAGGCTGGAGGCCAGGCTCAGGATGGGGGTTGGGGGGAGAGGGGAGTGGAAGCGATGATCCACACGCAGCGCTGCATCTCTGAGGCCAGCCATACTCCTTTCAGACTCTGAGCTCTCCCAGAACCTGAACAGACTCCAAGAGGAGCTAAACAACGTCGAATCCCAGAGTGAGACTTGGAACCGCCAGGGGAAAGCGGCCAATTCAGTGAGAAGGGGGTGGTGCTGGGAGCTGTCTGTCAGTCTCTGAAAACTGCACCGATCCCTATACCTTTCAGACTCTGAGCTCTCCCAGAACCTGAACAGACTCCAGGAGGATCTAATCAACGTCAAATCCCAGGGTGAGAATGTCCAGGCAGGCGAAAAACGGCAAAACTGAGCGAGAAGTGGGTGGGACTAGGAGCTGTCTGTCAGTCTCTGAATGCTATACCCACTATACCCACTCCCCCCATCCCCCAGGCTTGAATGAGAAGCGCACGGCCTCGGATTCTCTGGAGAAACTCCAGGAAGAGGTGGCAAAGCTGTGGATAGAGATGTTAATATCAAAGGGTGAGTCGCGGTGGCCTGTAACCACATACTGTGGCATCCTGTGTGTGCCGCACGAGGAGGCAGTACTGATACAATTGTGTGGCATGGTGTGACTTGGGGATGCGTTTGTGTGATGTGCACAGATCTGAGTTTATATTGAGACCAGGACAGATGGGGACATTTAGAAGAGCGCCCTCTGCTGATGGGGGTGGGGTCCACGCTGTTTTCCTCCTCCAGGTAAAGCTGGCTTCCCTCTGTTGCTGTTGCCTGCCCACCCAGGCTTAGTGGGGATGTGGTCGTCAGCAGCCCTATCAAGGATGGCAGGGATGGCAGGGATGGCAGGGACACAGGAACAGCTCTGCAGCCCGAGGAGTTTCCTTAACCCTATAGGAACCTCAACTCAGGTCAAACAGGGCTCTTTGTCTTTGATTCAGGGAATTTCAGGACAAGCCAGTGTGAAACAGAACTGGAATTTATCCAGAAAGATTTCAACACGAGTTTTTAAATTATTTTTACATTTTATTTCTTTTATGTGTATGTATGTAAGGGTAGGAGGAATGCATGCCAAGGCACATATTTGGAGTTCAAAGGACAACTTTCAAGAGTTGGTTCTTTCCTTCTGCCACATGGGTTTTGGGATTTGAACTCAGGTCTTCAGACTCAGCAAAAAGCTCCTTTACCCACTGAGCCATCTCATTAGCCCTAATACAGATAGGGCTGGGTGTGGGCTTCTCAAGCAGCTGCATCTTGCTCTATCCAATAATCTCAGGTGGGATTTAGTGAGTTTTGAAGTTGTCCTCAAGACCTGCTGAAGATGTGTGTGTGTGTGTGTGTGTGTGTGTGTGTGTGTGTTTCTGGGGGGGGAGCTGGGAGTATAGGTGTGTATGTAGGGGTGGGGGGATGTGCACATGAGTCATGGTCCATGTGGAAGTCAGAGGACAACCTCAGGTGTCAGTCTTTGCCTTCCATCTTGTTTGAGATAGGATGTTAGCCACTGCTAAGCCGGGCTAGCTGGCTAACAAGCATCAGGGGTTTTCCCATGTCTGCCTCCTCCCAACTCCCGCGAGGGTGCTGGGATTCCAGGTGCATGCTGCCATATCCGGCTTTAATCAGTTCCAGGGATTGGAACTGAGGTCCTCATGCTTGCTCAGCCCAGAGAATTTAAGTGAGATCCCAGGGCAGTTCCCAAGATGGTTACAATTGATGAGGTGAAAGATCATGGGGTGCAGGAAGACAGGACATTCTAACTGTAAACTATCAGTGGTCTTGTTTGAGAGTTCTAGAATTTAGCTGGCAGAGGAATGAAGTCCAACCTGAAAGCATACACCTTGACCAGACCTTGAGCTGATTCATTGCTTTAGTATAAGGTGTGTACAGAAAGAATATAGAGATATCCACGTCATTGTCACCACTCAGGCAGCCTCCAAGCAAATGCTAATTGTGCTGAAATTCTTGCTTCTGTGCTGTTGAGAGGCTCTTGCCAGCAGAGGGGCTCCTTCCTTTTTCATGTCCCCATAATGTTCCCTCTCCCTGAGTTCCACCTCACCCTCACCACAGCAGCCTCCATGAATTAACCCACTCGGTGATAAGGGACATGACCACCAGGGATGGTACAGGTGGAGGTAATGTTGATACCAGGAGGCCACCACACTTGCCCACCAGCCATTGTAGAGCTTGTGACATGGGATAAGAATGAGGTCACCGTGCTGCACTCGTAGAACCATTGCTTCATTGCCCTTGACTTTCCCCTTCCACTTCTGGAAAGCCCCAGCTGCCCCAGAGGACAAGAGAGAGGAAGGAACTTTGCTTGGTTGGAAGGAGCCCCCATCCCTTGGGACGAGTGGCTCTGGGGATCCCAGCAGAAAACCCCTGTGGTTTCTTGTGGCAGAGCATGGACAGACTCAAGGTCATTTTCATTGCTCACAGATTTCTCACCTCCTACCCTTTCTCTGAGTACACACATGCATATACACCACACACACCACACACCTCACACATACACACATACACCACACACACACACACCACACACATACACACATACACCACACACACACACACCACACACATACACACATACACCACACACACCACACACCACACACCTCACACATACACCACACACCACACACCTCACACATACACACATACACCACACACCACACACACACACACACCATACTTCACACATACACACACCTCACACATACACTTCACGAACACCACACATACACAAACAACACATACACACCACATACCTAACATATACACACATATACACCACATACACTCCACACATACCCACACACCTCACATATATACACATATGCAACACACACACCACACAAGCAAAAACAACACACACTTTACAGATACACACATACACAAACACACATTACACTATACACACATACCTCACATACACACATACCATATACACTCACCACATACACACACCTATGAAGATACACACCACATAAACATACACAAATATACACACCATACACCTCACATATACACACATATGCACCACATGGACACCATACACATACCTCACATATGCACATATACACCACACATATATGCACACCACACACCTCACATACATGTACACCACATACACATCACACAAACACACACCACACACCTCATATATATACCACACCCACACTACACATACACATATACACAACACACAAACAACACACACTTCACATATACACATACACACACATCACACTACACAACATGTACCTCACATACACACATAGCATATACACTCACCGCATATACACACCTATGCAGATATACACCACATACACATACACCAAATATACACACCACATACACATACACCAAATACAACACAGACCGCATACACACAGTCTCACACACACCAAATACACAAGTCACATACAAACCACATACACACACAAAGTAAACACAACACAGATCACATACATACACACCACATATACACATCACATCACATCCACAGATCACACACACACACACACACACACACACACACACACACACACCACACACCAAATACACAGGTCACATACAGACATACCACATACACACACACCACATATACACCACAGCTCATACACTGATCTCACACAGACACACACACACACACACATCACACACATGCACGCACATACACACTGTTTCCACCTCACCACAGGATACTAGAATTACAGGTGCATCCATCCATGAGATCCACACGCAGGCCTCAGGCCTCTAGTCGGTGCTTTTCTCACTGAGGCATCCCCCACATACAAATCCCGTCCTACACTCTGGGGTCTGAGTTCAGCCCTGGTACTGTCCCTAGGTGTCACAGCCAGGAAACTTTCCAGTCTCAGTCTCTCTCTCTTTCAATCTCTCTCGACCTCCCTCTTTACCCTTTTCATTTCTTTTAGATAAATATACTTTTAATATTTATTTTACTTTTAATTATGGAGGGGCAGGTAAAGGGCACATGAGTTTAAGGGGCCTGCAGATGCCTGGTCCATAGAGCTGGAGTTATAGGCAGTGGTGAGTTGGCTAATGTGGGTGCTGGGAACTAAACTTGGGCCCTCTGCAAAAGCCATTCCTGCTCTAGATTACTCGGTCATCTCTGCTCTGACTGAGGTGTCTGAGGTGTCTGTGGGGTGTGCTGTGGCTGGGGTGTCTGTGGGGTGGGGGTGGCTGAGGTGTCTGTGGGGTGGAGGTGTCTGTGTCTGAGATGTCTGTGGTACGGCTGGAGTGTCTGTGTTAAGGTTCTGGTAGTTGAGGTGTTGCTAACCATGGAGGTGTTAGTAAGCTTGGGATTGGAAGTGTTACATAAAGCTGGTGGCTGAGTTGGGGTTGGCCTTGGCTGTTTGTTGCTGATGCCAGTGGTTGAGGTATTTATGAGGTTAGTGACAACTGCTATTCTGCTAACCACTGGGGTGGCTTCGGTGATAGTGTTGGTGACTGAGATAGTCCCACCAATGAACTGGCCAGATCCCATGAAAAAAGCTGCAGACCGGCTGCTAGGGTCTAAGCTTGGAGAGACAGATCCCTGGGTGACTGCAGAAGAGACACTACCATACACATGCATACCCTGCCCATGGGGGCCAGGGGCAGCCCACCACAACGCTGAGCCTCTCTTCTCTGCCACCCCAGGAGCTGCATGCAGCACGTGTCCCAAGAACTGGCTCCATTTCCAGCAGAAGTGCTACTATTTTGGCAAGGGCCCCAAGCAGTGGATCCAGGCCCGATTCGCCTGCAGTGACCTAGAAGGGCGGCTAGTCAGCATTCACAGTCAGGAGGAGCAGGTGGCCAGGGGCTCTATGGAGACCATGGGCAGCTGGATCGTGATGGGCGGGGCAGGGGAGGTCGTCCCACCCTGGCCTTCTGGAATGGACAGGATGGACCATATGCATCTCCACCTAGGACTTCCTGATGAAACACATCAGCAAGGATTCCTGGATTGGCCTCCGGGATCTCAATGTGGAGGGACAGTTCATATGGATGGACGGGAGCCCAGTGGGTTACAGGTAAGGGGCCTGCGGGATAAACACCGAGGAGGGAACTGTCCCTGGATAAGTACCTCATGGAGGAGTCCAGGCTCAGGGAAAGGGTCCTGTAGGCTACAGATGAAGGAGAGAGCCCTGGGGTCTGGACTTCCTAGATTCCTTAGCCATAAGGAAAGGATGAAGGGCCCGGGGCAGAGAGCAGCAAGAGCAGTTTGGAAAGGTGGGTCTTGGGCTGCATGCATAGAGGGCGTACAGAAATGGGGGAGACCCAGGCACAGGGCCCCCAAACGGGGGAACCTTTGCTATGAAATGAGAATAGTGGGGGAGGACCTGCAGAGAAGGAACACTTCCCTCATGGCATTCCTATGACTGGAGTGTTTCTTGTTCCAGCAACTGGAGTCCAGGGGAGCCCAACAACGCAGAGCAGGGTGAGGACTGCGTGCTGATGCGGGAGTCCGGCCAGTGGAACGACTACTCCTGCCGCAGCTTCCTGTATGCCTGGGTGTGTGAGCAGCTGGCCACATGTGAGGCATCTGCCCCATTAGCCTCTGTGAGTCCAACAGGACCCACTCCAAGTAATGAACCCTGACAAGCTTCTGCCCACCCTCTTCTGGATGTCTCTCCCACCTTCATCATGGAGACAGCCAGGCCCTGAGGATCGTCCTATCAAGGCCTGGGCCCCTCTTTGTGACTCAAGGCCTCCATGATTATGCCCCCACCCATACTGAAGCAGCTGGTAGATACCAGCTCCCCATCCAACTAAGCTGACATCCCAGCCCCTCTGCCCTCCTCACACCCGAGTCCTGCCATGCAGCCTGCGTGTGGGCAGCTGAGCCATCCAGGAAGCTGAGAACAGTTTTCTCAGGGGGCTTCCTACTCCTATCAAGTTTTCCTCTTCCTCCCACTCACTGTCCCACAGAGCACAAGTCCCCTCTCCCCAGGGTCTGGCAGCAAATCCTCCCACCAAGTTTGTGTGCAACAGCGAAAAGGGATCATAGCTGGTCCCCAGCACTCCCCGCTCCTTGGAGGCCTTGCCAGGTGTGCTCCAGGTGTGGCAGGTAGCTGACAGTTTCAGCGACCTGGTGCCCAAGACCCTCTTTGAGAATGCAGTGCAACTGATATGGAATTTTACACCTCATGTATCTTGGTTATTTCTTTTCCTATGTTATCACAGTAACATGCTAGGTATGTGTGGGAGTGAGGCTCGGGAGTATGTGATTCCCAGCCAGGCGTGTTGGTACTTGCTTATAATCCGAGTAAGCTTGGAACTGTGGCTTTGGGCAAGCCTGGACAAATCGGTGAGACCCAAATAAAGCTGAGAGGAGGGCCAGCGATGACCTGAGTTCAAGGCTCCAGTCTCCTGAGTCTCAGGAGGAAAAAATCAAGTCTCAAAAGTTGGCTTCCACACTACCCTGAGGCCTGTGCAGCCCCCCACACACTTAAACACATAAACCCATTTTTAAAGATGTTTAAGGTGGAGTGCACCTGAGGAAAACATCTCACATCTCTGGCTCTACATGCACACACAAAATAAACATAATTTTAAAAACAAGGTGGAGGCTAGAGACATGCTTTAGCAGTTAAGAACACACCGCTCCTCCTAGGAATGGGAGCTCAGATGGCAACACTCACATCAGAGGACTCACAAGCACCTGCAACAGATCTTGGATCTGATGCCCCCTTCTGGCCTCCAGTCACCTGCATTCATGTTCACAAACCTACAAACAACGTGTGTGTGTGTGTGTGTGTGTGTGTGTGTCTGTCTGTCTGTCTGTCTGTCTGTCTGTCTGTATTCTTAAAAAAAAAAAAAAAGCGAGGGGTGGTGGTGCACAACTTTAATCTCAGCACTAAGGGAGGTAGGCAGATCTCTGAATCTGAGGACACCTGGTCTACATAGTTGAGTTCCAGGCCAGCCACGACTATACAGTTGAGATTGTCTAAATTAATGTAATAAGCCACTAAGTTACACACCCAACCTCAGGTAGAGTCAGAAGTGTTGAGAATTCATGGTCATCTTGGAACATATAGCAAGCTCAAAGCCAGAGTGGGCTGACAGCAACCTGTCTCAGAATAAATTTTAAAAATATTAACCTTAAACTGGATGGTGGTGGTGGTACATATTTTTAATCCCAGCACTTGGGAGGAAGAGGCAGGTGCATCTCTGTGAGTTTGAGGCCAGCCTGGTCTACAAAGAGAGTTCTAAGACAGCTAGAGCTACACAGAGAAACTGTCTCATCAGTTTCTGGGTGCTTCTGGGCTTGTGATCCCTGGGGCACCCAGCAGCTCTCCAGAATGTACCAGAAACAAATTCTTAGGTATAACCCAAAACTGCAGAATCTTGATTGTAGGGGTAGGGCCCAATAATCTGAGTTCTAAAAAATCCTCCATGTGACTCTGATGCCCTGACACACTGCTTCTCAAAATAAGAGACCAAGGGACACCTCTGGGAATGGGACTAGGATGTAAATTCTGGTCCAGTGTATAGGATGAACCAGTGATTCTGCATGTGAGATAATGATGCTGATGCTGCTATTGGCTCTGATGCTGACCGGCCACAAGCCATTTTGAGTAGCAAAGGTCTAAAGGGAGAATCACTCTCCATATACATTTTTAGGCACACAGACACACCCACTCCTTTATTATCTACTATTTTTTAGAGAAAATGTAGATTAAGGGAAAAGTACCCCTGCCTGAAACTTGTTTAAGAAAGAGTCCCATGCTCCCAAAGCTGGTCTCAAACTTGCTAAGTAGTGGAGGATGGCCTTGAACTTCTGATCCTTCTCCCCTAACTTCCTTGTGCTGGAATGACACAATTTGCACCACTATGCCCAATTTATGTGGCATAAAAAATCAAACCCAGGGCACTCCACCAACTGGGCTATGGCACTGACAGTTTGCCAGGCCTTGGTCCCTCTTAACCTCATATCCTTGCCCCCACCTCTCCAGCCTGCAGGCTCCAATTATAATTTCATAGGTGCCCTATCTCCCCAGTATACCCAACCCTCCACCCTCATCTGAGAGCCAGAAGCTAGGTCAGCCCATTGTCCACTTCTTCAATCTCCACCTGTGCCTGACACGCCTGCCTCGGAATCCCTCAGCCTGGGACTCAAGACCCAGATCAGAGTGTGGGCAGATATGGCGCCCCTACACAAGACACAACACAAGCCTAGAACGGGATCTGTTCATCCTTTATCTCCTGTGGAGTCAGCGTCCCTCCAGGGCCCGATCTCGTGCGATAACGGCCTCTTCGAACTTGATCATGAGTGTGGTCCCCTTGTGCCAGTGCGCTGTAACCTTGGCAGGGAAGCCGCTGTGCGTGAGCACAGCCTCCACAATGCCCGCCGTGAAGCTGGCACAGTTGAGCGTGCTGTTCTCCTTGGGCACCGAAATGTAGGTGTTGATGAGCGGCTCCCTCTCAATGATGTAGAAAGTGCGGGCGTCATCATTGGCCTGCTCCAGCTTGTCGGCCTCCTTGCCAAACAGAGCCTTCCACACTGCGCCCTTGACGAACAGTAGCGCACCCAGCACCTTGGTCTCACGCCGGGCACCCTTTTCACGGGCCACCAGGGCATCCAGGACTCGGGCGCCCACCTGGCGGCCTAGGGCAGCCAGGCGTGCCTGAAGCTCGGCCACTGAGAAGACGCGGCTCTGACAGTGCTGCACCAGCTCGGAGAAGAGAAGGGCAAAGGCACTCAGGCTCACCTCGGTGCGCGGCCGCACCAGTGCACGCTCCAGCAGCGCTGACTTCCCGCGTGTGAAACGAGCCTCCATGCTGCCGCCCTGCAGGAAGACCAAAAGTCAGGGTAGGGTGATGGATGGATGAGACCTGGCACCAAGGGCCAGAGGGAGAACCAGGAGGGGCTCCAAGAAGCCCACATAACCCACAGCGTTGGGGACTATAGTGCCAAAGAGATGAGAAGGAAAGCCGGCACTCAATCTGCTGGTAAAACGTACCCCATAAGGATTAGCAAGCAAGCATAACTATTAGAGGCAGAGCTTTCTAATCTTGCCAGCAATGAGGGAAAGAAGAGATGTGAGGACTAGAGAAGATGGGGAGATGCTCAGTACTGAGAGCATGTACTTCTCTAGCAAAGCACTTGAGTTCAATGCCCAGCATCCAGTTCCAGTGGCTCACAACCACCTGTAACTCTAGCTGCAGGGAGAATCAATGCCTCTGGCTCTGTGGGCACTGCACTTGCATGCACAAACTCACACTCAGACACACGTCCATAAACATAATTAAAAATTAAAAAAGAAATCTTTAAAGGGGAGCAATGGAAACTACCTCAAAGTTGGAGACCCAAGAGATTTCTTATTCAGAAAAAGCACTTGGAGCTGGGGATATGGCTCAGTCAGCCCATGCTCACCTAGCATGCATGAAATCCTAGATTCAATCCCCAGCGCCACATAAAGCCAGGTATAGTGACACACTCTTCCAATCCCAGGACTCAGGAGGTGGAAGCAGAGGCAGAAAGATCAGGTGTTGGGGGTCACCCTCTGCTACATATGGAGTTTCAAAGTAACCCGGGCTACATGAGACCTTGTCTCCAAAAAACAGATGGCTCAGGAGTTAAGATCATTTGTTGCTTTGTAGAAGGTCTGGGTTTGAATTCGGGCACCTATAGGGTGATACATGGCCTTCTGTAACTAGTTCTAGGAGATACTCTGCCCGCTGAAGGTCCCAGGCTCACACATTGTACACATAGTCAGGCAGAACACCATACACATAAAATAAACCTCAAACTATCAACAGAGCTGGCAAGACGGCTCCGAGTAAAGACACTTGCCTGATAACCCCAGTTTGATCCCCAGAACTCACACAGTGGGAGGAGAGAATAAACTCAAAAGTCGTCCTCTGACCTCCATGCACACTCACGAACACACAAACACGAAATGAATAAAAATGTCATTTTTATGAAGTTAGCACATGGCTGGGGAATGGCTAAAACTTAAGATGGCATATAGAGGTGACATGAAACTGGGTGTTGAGGTGCACACCTGTATGCAACCCCAGCACTCGGGCTGGGGCAGTATGATGGCAGAAAGAGGCCAGCCCAAGTGAGTCCCAGGACTGCCTAGGCCACAGTAAAGCCATCTTCACTACCCAGAATTGGATTCACCATGACAAACACACCTCTGGATTTCCAGATACGTTTAACTAGGGGAGGATCCATTCGGAACGTGGGCACCACCCCGCAGGGATGAATAAAAAGGACTAAGTCATCTGATCATACCACTCGTCTCTCTGCTTTCTGACTGTGGATGCAATGCAACCAACTGCCTCAGGCTCCTGCCATGTCTTGCCAATGGTCATATAAACAAACCTTTCCTTCTTTTGGTTGCTTGTGTCAGGTATTCGACCATACAGCAACAATGAGAAAAGCACTAATACACCTGCCTTTAAAGCGGAGGGTTGAGGAGTGCAGAGGAGACAGATGGTCTCCCTGGCTGGCGTGTGCTCTAGCCCTGACTACCCTGAAGACCTTCCTGCTCAACCCCTCCAGGAAAGCAAGTGACTGACAGAAAGGGGCAGGGGTGAATCATGGCCAAGCCAGGAGAGTGTGCAGAAAATCCCCAACCCTATATCGGAGCACGGAGCGGGGGCGGGGGGGGGGCGCGAAGGTGTCAATTTGTCAGGAAGGAAGCCATCTCCACGGTGACCCTTAACTAAAGAAGAGACCACGTTGGGACTCCCACCAACTCTCTAGAAAGCTGCACGGATGGTGGGGAAACTAGTGGAGAAGCCGGGAGGCGGCGCTGGGAGCCTCCGGGCCTCCCGTGCCCGCATCAGGGAGCCACAGCTGTGAATGGGGACCGAAATGGAATTCCGAGGTTGAAGGAAAGACTTCCCGGGGGTGCAGCCTTCGTCACTCCTGGGGGACGGACTGCAGCCGACAACCCGCCCCTACAAAGCGTGTCCTAGGGACCCGGTCTTGGGAGATCAGGATGCTGGGGAGGAGACCGGGCAGAGCGCGCCACACGGCTGCTCGGCTGAGCTGTTCGAGGGCCAGGACCCCGAACCCGCATCACCCCGAAAACCCAAAGCAGACTGACCCGGGAACGCTGCTCCGGACGCACAGAGAAAAAACGAGCCCCTCCAGCGAGGGAGTAGAGTCTCGGGCCCGGAAAAGTCTCAACCGGAACCAGGCTGCCGTAGGTTCCGCGGAACTTCTTGACGGCGTCGTAAAAGGCCCCTGAGTGCGCAGGCGTGTGTGGGAGGGGTGACGGGTGACCGAGAGCGGCCGCGAGGGGGCGCGCGTGTCCTCCCAGGCCCGCGACCCAGAGCTCTGGTCGTCTCTGGGCTAGGAGATGCTGCTTTGGGAGTCGGTCTTGAGAAGGAGTACATGCATGCCTGCGGGTACATGTTTTCTTATGAATATCCGTGAGGTGGAGGTGTGATGTATTTGCTCGCGGTTCACCCAGATATGTATTTTACCTCTTATGAAGGACACTTAATCTGGTGGTGTTTTTCCATCTTCCACAAAAGATGTGGCTTCAATGCTTTAGTAACAAAAGTAGGGGAGGGCCATCTTCCACAAAAGATGTGGCTTCAATGCTTTAGTAACAAAAGTAGGGTAATTGTTGTGTATGTGTATTTGTATGGTCAGGAGTGGAAGTCATAGACAACTTGCAGGAATGGGTTCTCCCCTTCCATGAGTATCAAACCTAAGCCAACAGCCTCAGCATCAGGCAGTTTTACCTGCAGAGCCATCTGACAAACTTTATATTTCCTTTGTGTGTCTGTGTCCCATGTGCCCAAGCTCCTGTGTGAGAAGCCAGAGGTTGGCACTGAGTGGCTATCTCTATCACTCTTGGACTTACTTTTAAGACAGTGTCCATCTTAGTGAACCTGGGGTAACCATTTCTGCTGATTTCCAGCATCTCTGCCCCCACAAACACCTCAGCAGTTCTGGGTTTACAGGTGGGCACCAACACACCCAGGTTTTTGGTTTTTTGTTTGTTTGTTTGTTTGTTTTAATGTAGGCACTGGGAATCAAATTCAGGTATTCATGCTTGTATTTTATCCACTGAGACTCCTCCTAGCCCCTAATTTTTTGTGCTGTTTATTGGTTAGTTCTTGGTTCTTTGAAAGAACTTTGCTGCATAGCCCAAGCTGGCTTCCTGGACAATGGTTAGCCCTGCTCTTCCAGTGTTTAGCCCACCTTGATAAGAGGAAATACAAAAGGCAGAAAGAATGTAGGTCATTTCCTCCTGACATCTATTCATATCTCCAACAGCTACGTGTTTAATTGATTTAGTTTCCAGTGCTGGAGATGAAACACGGGGCCCCACACAGGCCCCTCAACCATGTCCCAGCCCCACATGCTTAATTTAAAACCTCCTAGCAGCCACGTTTTAAAAGGTATAAAACAGTAAGCTAAATTGTTTGGTTTTTTCTGTGCTAGGTGTGGAGTTCGGGGCCACACATGTGCTGAGCAAAAGTTCTATGGATGAGCCACACCCTCAATTCTAAGCTCATTTTAATAGTGGGTGTGTGCTCTTGTGCGTGCTCCAGTGTGTGCATGGGTGCAGATATATGCAGAAACATGCATGTAACCAGGCATAGGGGGCACACACCTTCAATAAATACCAGCATTCAATAGACAGAGACAGGTGATCTCAGTGAGTTCAAGGGCAGCCTGACCTACATAGGGAGTTCCAGGCCAGCCTGGGCTACATAATGAGATCCTGTCTCAACAGAGAGCAAGAGAAGGAAAAGGAAGAGGTCATGTGCCTGTGGAGACCAGAGGTCAACCTTGGCTGTTTAGACCAGACTGACATCAAACTCACAGCTCCGCCTTCCTCTGCCTCCTGATTGCTAGGATTAAAGGCATGCACCACCACACCTGGTTTTGGTTTCATTTTTGAAATAGGGTCCCTTGCAGGGATTTGGAGCTCCCCAATTCAGCCAGGGTGACTGTGCTCCAGGGATCCCCTGGCTCTGTCTCCTCAGCACTGAGATTACTGTTGTATGCCAATGTGTCTGACCTTTCATGTGGGTTCTGGGAATAGACGTCGGCCCTCATCCTTGTGCAGTGGGCACTCTAAAGAGTGGATCGTTCCTGGAGGGACCCTTGAACTTCGGGATGCCCCCCTTCAGACCTTGGGTTAGGCACAGACCACACCCAAACACCAATTTCCAAGCACAAACCAAACATGAAGAGACCCTTTATTAAGCAAGACGAAGAGACAAGGCGGCTGAATCTTAATCAAGCAGAAACAGCAGCAAGTGTTAATTATAAGAGGGAAAAGGGGGAGGTCTGTGTTTGAATGAACTAGGATGTGTTGGTAAATTCTGATTGGGTATAATAATTTTGATTGCTGGGCCTTGGTGTTTTGATTGTTGGACCTTGGTGATCAGTCTCAGGAATGAGTCAGTGGCCAAATAAGGAATAGACCTTGGGGCTAGCTTTAGGGATGTAATCTAACAGTTTATCGAGGAAGGGGTAAAGGCAATACCTGCCCATGCCATGTTTGCCATGCTCCAGCCTGCTAGAGCCCTTCACCTTCCTGGCCCACAATACTATCTTATTAATGTTTTATTACATTTTGGGGGCTGGAGAGATGGCTCAGTGGTTAAGGGAGCACAGTGGGGGCTCCCTTCCAGACCCTGAATTAGGCACAAACCACACCCTTACAGCCTTATTAAGATCCTTTATTAAAAAAAAAAAAAAAAGATCCTTTATTTAGTGGGGAAGAAAAATTAAAGTGGCTGCTTTCTGATTCTGGCAGAAAAACAGCAGCAAATGACCTTGCAGGTGTCATTTTTAAGAAGAGAAAAAGGGTCTGTGTTAGAATGGGCTAGGATGCAATGATAAAGGAGACAGAGAATCAGGGAGAAGAGAACAGGGACAAGGGGAAGTAGGCAGGGGTGAGACGAAGGACTGCCTCCGGATGGAGAGGAGACAGACATGGCACATAGGCAAATGGTTTATAAAGGTAAAGGGGGGGACCCCATGTTAGGATGAGGTGTTCAGTTTTAATTGGACATGTTAATTAGGTGAGCCAAAGGGGGCTTCTGATTGCTGGACTTTGGTAGTCAGCCTCAGGAGGAGGAAGTGACCAAATAAGGGAATAGATCTTAGTGGCTGGCTTTAGGAATATAAAGTAGCAGTTTTTAGCAAAGCAGGTGGAATGGGGGAGAAGGCAAGGCCTGCCAGAGTCACATGCTCGAGTGGGCTAGTGTCCCTTCAAAGAGTACTTATTGCTCTTGCAGAGGACTAAGGTTCAATTCCCAGCACCCACATGATGGTTCATCCTGGGATTCATTGCTCTCTTCTGACCTCTACAGGCACGAGGCATGCATGTGGTACATATACATACATGCAGTCAGTTCATACTTGCAGTCAAAGCACCCATAGCATAAAGTGAATAAATCTAATTTTAAGTTTTTTATAACTGTATTACATCTTTATTAATTTTGTGTGCATGTATGTGTGTGTACCACAGTGTGAGTAGAAGTCAGAGGACAACTTTTGTGAGTCGTTTTTCTTCTTCCATCATTTGAGTCCTGGGGATAGAACTCAGGTTGGCAGCCCAGTACTGTTTTTAATTAGTATAATACCTCCCATATGGTCCTGGTGGGTTTTTATCAATTTGACACAAATCTAGACATACTTGGGAAGAGGAACCTTGATTGAGAAGCTGCCTCCATCAATTACCTAAGGCAAGTCTTTGGGGTACTTTCTCAGTTGGTGTGGAAGGACCTGGTTCACTGTGGCAGATGATCCTGGGTTATATAAGAAAATGGGCGGAGCAAGCCAGTAAGTAGAGATCTTCCAGTCCTTCTACTTCATTTCCTGCCTCGAGTTCCTGCCCTGACTTCCTCAGATGATGAACTGCCATGTGATCATGTAAGCCAAACAGACCCATTCCTCCCCAAGTTGCTTTTGGTCATGGTACTTTATCACAACAATAGAAACCCTAACTAAGACACAAAATATTATCATTTCATCACATAGATGCTATTTTAAAATCATTAAAGAAACTCTTATGAGCTGGGCAGTGGTAGTGCTGACCTTTAACCCCAGCACTTGGGAGGCAGAGGCAGGTGGATCTCTCTTGTGAGGAACTAGAAAAACCTACTTGGCCTCAAAGATTCCAATTTTAAGAAAGGGTCACCATCTTAAAATATCTAGATTCCGGGGACTGAACCCAGTCCCAGAAATGTGCTGTGGCAGTAGAAATTCCAGGGAGCACCCTAGATGCAGCCAATCAGAAGACAGGGCAGTAAGTCCCAGATGTACTACAAGCTTCCTGTCTGCAATTCATGGTTTCCAGATGTATCATGGTTTACAGATACCCTGCTGACTGTTTATGAGTTGGCACCAATGGCCTGACCCATAATTTTTAAAAATCCCCTTGCCCCGTACTTACTGACCCAATCCTAAAACACCAAGGCATGCAACCCCCCTACTTATGGTCTCCTTCCCTTTAAAAACTCGAGCTCCTTTGTGTTCCAAGCTGTGCTCCCTGCCTCCGCTGCAGGGGAGTGTGGGGTTTTGCCATCAGAAGTTAACTCCGAATTGACCTTTGTATGAGCCAGCGCATGCCTTTAATCCCAGCACTCTGGAGGCAGAGGCAGGCGGATCTCTGTGGGTTCCAGGCCAGCCTGGTCTCCAGAGCAAGTGCCAGGATAGGCTCCAAAGCTACACAGAGAAACCCTGTCTTGAAAAACCAAAAAAAAAAAAAAAAAAAAAAAAGACCCTTGTGTGATTGCATGGGACTGTGACTCCTTGTGGTTTTTTTAGAAGGTTCTGCATGAGTTCAAGCCAGCCTGATCTACAGAGTGAGTGCCAGGACAGCCAGTGCTATACAGAGAAACACTGTCTCAAAAAACGAAGGAAGGAAGGAAGGAAGGAAGGAAGGAAGGAAGGAAGGAAGGAAGGAAGGAAACTGGGCATGATAGTATATACCTGTAATCCCAGATACTCAGGAGGCTGAGGCAGGAGGATTGCTTGGAGGCCAGCCTAAGCAATACTACCAAGATTCTCCCAATAAATAAATATTATAGTGGATACCGAGGTAACATTTTTTCTTTTCCTTTCCCTTTTTCTTTGCCTCTTGTCTTTTGTCGTTGCCATTTCCTCCTAGTGTTAAAAACCAAGTGTGGCCAGGTGGGCAGAAGACAGCCACAGGTCCACCGGGCACCCCTCAGCCAGGCGAGGCAGGCACCACTATGATGAACAGGTAT